GTAATAACAAAGTTAAGAATAATTATAAACTTTAATTCCTTACTAATAGGTAATTAATATTAATGCTAATTGGTAATTGTAACTTGGAAGTAGATAAAGTGTGTGCACATTGCACGGGAGTGCCAGAAACCCTCTCAGATGTGAGAAATGGCTTGGCCGGATCCAACTCGGGCCTTTGTATCGCTCAGAGATCCGCAGGGCTGGCGCTCGGCTGCAGGAGGAAGCTGTGCAGTCCTTATGCGGGGACCTGCTGCAGCCCAAAGCAGGGAGCACCGAAAGCACCCTCGTGTTGAACACCTTGCCCTGGGAACGGACCGAGGTGATCTCCAGGACTGGGCCAGCTGGAACAGAGACTTTAGGTATGTTTAACTCGGGGGTAACTCATGCGTCAGAATTTCTTACGGCGGCAGAGACAGCTGGCAAAGAAATACTGTGCCTCTCCCTGCCCTGGGGAGGGCTTACTGACTTGTGGAATCCCTCCCTCGAACTTTGTCCCACTTCACGTTCTCCCTGAGCTGTGGATAAAGGAGAAGAGGAGGGTATGAAAGGAGGTGGTAGGGCTGATGTGAGAGCAGCGGGGCAGCACGGTGTGACTTCGGGTTAGGTCTGGGGCGGATGTTGGAACAGAACCTCTTTGCTTTCCAGCTCTGGTGACAGTCCCCAGCATGGGCTATGCTATAGCGAGGGAGCCGTTGCTGCCCCCTCAGCCTGTGGCAGTGAGGAAACAGGTAAGCATGACGGCAGTTGTCCTCAGATCGGTGTACCCTGCAGCAAAGATTGATTGGGGAGAAATCTAGAGAATCCGGCACACAGCAAGTCCGCACACTAGATTTGCAATTGGGGTGCTCAACTCCCACGGGTGTGGGTGTGTGAAATCTGTTTCTGTCCTTTCCCCCCAGGAGGACGGCTCCATTGCCATGGAGAACGGGGTGATCGCCGTCTGCCTGGACACGATGGGGCGCCTGACCTCGCTTCGCCTGGTGGACTCCGAGAGGTGTGTCTGTCACCCAGTTACTGGAACTGGGCTCCTCAAACCTCTCTCAGGTCATCTTTTCACTGTACGCCCTTCTCTACTGCCAGTTCTTCTTACGCTGCTGTTTCTCTGTTCCACTTTGTTCCAGAGAGTCAGTCCCAGATGGCTGCTATGCCAACCAGTTTGCACTCTTTGATGATGTTCCCCTGTACTGGGATGCCTGGGACGTGATGGATTATCACTTGGAAACCAGGTAGAGGAGCAGTGCGTGCAGCACTTGGATTTTATCTTTGCTCTGAGCTTCTTGCCTCCCCATCGGTCCTAGCTGTGACAAAAGCTCCAACAGAACATTCACTCCGGAGAAGGGAGTGCCTGCCGTGTGGAAGGCTGGATAGGGATTTGGGAACCTGCATCTACCAGGCTCTGCCTTTACCTCGTTCTCTAGGAAGCCAGTGACAACACTCCTGAAACCTCTGGAAATCACCCTGGCTGGGGGCCTGCGGGGAAGCGCGAGCTTCTCTCTGCGGATCGGGAAAAGCAGCACCTTAACCCAGGAGATCATCCTGGATGCCACGTGCCCGTACCTCCGCTTCCTGACCCAGGTTTGGCCAGCGGCTGCCGTGCGATACAGACATCTGTGCTGTTCAGGCGGGGCTCTGGGGAGCTGGACCTTGTGTCTGAATTACGTCCCCCCCTCCTTGTTTTCTTCCCTGGGGCCCCCTGCTGCCTGTCCTCCTCTGCCTTAGGGGATGGCAGCCTGAGGGTGGGGGTCCTGAGGGACAAGGGTGGAAGAGAGACCCACCAGTTCGTTTCTGTTCAGGCTCTACTGTGATTTTATTGTATCTGGTCCGGCCTGGGTGCGAGTTGGGTGCTGTGCACCGGGGAAGGATGAGTGCAGCCTCTGCCTGTCAGGTCCCCGTGGTGATGCCCCTCTGCTACCACATTTAGGTTGAGTGGAAGGAGGCTCACAAGTTCTTGAAGGTGGAGTTCCCTGTGCAGGTCCGGAGCACAAACGCCACCTACGAGATCCAGTTTGGACACCTCCAGCGGCCAACGCACTGGAACATGTCGTGGGACTGGGCCCGATTTGAGGTGAAGGGAAGGGTGGTCTGGTCCTCCCGTGGTGGGGCTGTATTTGCTCCCAGGCAGTAGCTCTGTATGGTGAATATGTCCCTTGGTACCTCCTGCAGGTGTGGGCTCACAAGTGGCTGGATCTCTCCGAGCACGGCTTTGGGGTGGCACTGCTGAACGACTGCAAATACGGGGCATCGGCCCACAGGAACGTCCTCAGCCTCTCGCTGTGAGTAGGGTCGGGGTGAGGGTGGAGCTGCAGCAGTCCCTTTGCTTTCTGAGGTGTCTCTTGGAAGTCAAAGCGACACCTGGTCCTAAGTGATCTCGTAGCTAATAAGGAAATAGTCTGGTTTTAGCGGCTGCCTGTGGTCTGAGAACTTTTGGCTGACCTAATTACAATTGACTAAGATAGTGTAATTCCTATGAGTTATGCTCATAGGTAATGTAGGAAAGATCAGATCCCTATTTGCACCACGTAATTTTTCTGTTGCTGGCCAAAACATACCCCGGGAGGGGAGACTGAAGGAGAGGGAAGAAATGGCAAAGTTCCGGATGCGGGTGAAGCTAAGAGAAACTCCATGTATTTCAGTTTGAGGCCATCAGCCCCAAGTTTCACAGGAAAACACCTTTCAAAGGTCGATTTTAGCTTCCACCTTGTCTGGGGTCTGTTTGCTCTTGCCAGAAACCAGCAGAGTGTTGGTTTCTCCCTCAGGGCACAGGCTTGAGGTAGCAGGGGGAGATGCTTGTCTTGTCACAGCGCTCCTCTGGTTCTGGACCGGGTGACAGAGGGGCAATGTCAGGCTTGGGCTGACGGAGGGCGACACACCAGTCTCACCTACATCTCGTTTCCTTAGGCTGAGAGCACCCAAGTCCCCCGATGCCACGGCAGACATCGGGCACCACCAGTTCACCTACGCCGTGATGCCTCACCGGGGTGAGTGATGGGCAGCGCTGGGTCCTGTCAGGGACAACACAGCTTGGAGGAAGCTCTGGTGAACCTTGGGCTGAGCACATCTGGCTGTGCCTGCATAGAGGCTGGCTAGAGGTTCTTGCGTTGCAGGTTCTTTCCAGGACGCCGGTGTGATCCAGTGTGCCTACAACTTGAATTTCCCTCTCCACGCGGTCCCGGCCGGCTCTGCCCAGTGCCCAGCCTGGAGTGCCTTTTCCGTCAGCTCACCTGCAGTCGTGCTGGAGACTGTGAAGCAGGCGAGTCCCCGGGGCAGAAACAGGGAGGGCAGATGGGTTAATCTGTCGTTGTTAAGTGTAGTTTGCTCTTTCCTCTGGTACCGCAGCCGTAGTCACCAGCGCTGCACGGCGGCAGGTCAGGAACGCATGCGCACGCAGGCAGAGGCGCTCAGCCGCCATCACTGGGGTCCGGCTGTACCCCGAGGTGTAGGATAGGATGCGCCTGTCTCATTTGTCTGAACTCCCGTCTGCACTTGTCCCCCAAAGGCTGAGGACAGACCTGATGCCGTGGTGGTTCGGCTGTACGAGGCGCACGGCAGCACGGTTGTTGCCTGGCTCCAGACCTCCCTCCCAGTTAAGGAGGCGATGCTGTAAGTCCACACTGGAGGGCTGGATGTGTGTGGGGATGGAGATCAATCCATGCTGGAGGGCTGGGCATGTGTGTGGGATGGAGATTGGTTGCTTCAGCCTCACCCGCTGTTTTTTTCCCCAGCTGCGACCTCCTGGAGCGGCCGGCTGCGAGGGACTGTCTGCCGCTGGAGCAGCAGGGTGTGAAGCTTTCCTTCACGCCCTTCCGTGTGCTCTCTGTCCTCTTGGTCTTGAGGCAGTGACGCTGTCGGTCGCCCTTGCTGGTGCGGTGGTAACCTGGACCAACATCATGAACTCAAATTGCAGCCTGAGGCTTCTTCCATCCCAAGAGCTGTGGGAAGGGCAGAGTCTCCTCCTCATCCCCCACAGCCATCGGCGAGCAGTGCTCCAGAAGAACCACCTTCTTCAGGAAAGGAGGAGAGTTTTCCCCTGCCTAATTGGAGATGGAGGGCCTGAGCGAGTTCCCGGCTAGCCGAAGCATGGGTTGTGGGACAGGGTGGCTGGCCCCACAGAGCCTCTGCTCCAACCCCTGTGAGGTTTTTGGGAGTAGCAGCTTTCCATGGTGGCTCCTGTGTCTCAGCCTTCATCTTGTCCAGACTCTAGCAGCGAGTGTAGAGACACACTACAGTCATTCCCCTCACCCTTTGCCTGCCTCTCGCACTGCCCTTATGGAAGGGGAACACAAGTAAAGAAGAAAAATTACATGAAAACAAGCTCCAGTCTGTTTTCTGAACTTATTTCCAGGTAACTGCGCTGATCTACTTCCTCCCAGGGCCTCCCATGTAGCAGCTGCTCAGTGTCCTCCTCCCTGGATCCTCCACTGGGGAGGCAGAGCTTACCTTTATTTTGAATCACAGAATGGTTTAGGCTGGAAGGGACCTTTAAAGGCCATCTAATCCACACCCCCTGCAACGAGCAGGGACACCTTCAGCTCCATCAGGTTGCTCAGAGCCTTGTCCAACCTGACCTGGAATGAACTTGCGGGGGGATGAGGTGGAGGGGGAAGCCTGCTTCAGCCCAGGCTGGGCACAGAGGGGTTATCCTTAGCACAAAAAGAACGTGCACGGTAATTTCTACACAAAATATTTTATTAGTCAGCTAAAAATCACAGCCTTCTCAGTTATCCAGGCAGCAGCCAGAAAGCGAGGAGAAGGAGGGGGGAAACATACACTTTTAGGCAGAGGGAAGGCTCCGTGACCCTTATCCCCCTCAAATGCCTGGGGACAGCAGGAAGACAGTGGATAAATCAGCACCATCACCAAATCCAGCTTCTCTTTCCCACACTGGCAGGACACAGCAACAGCAAGCAGGGGTAAGCACAGGTCGAGAGAACCCCATTTCTCCCCAGCGCTAACCCCGGCGCTCCCTGAGCTCCCCTTGGGAGGAGGGCAGCATGTGGCGCTCAAACGGCAGGGGCTGCGCCTGGAGGATGGAGAGGAAAATGAAGAAGTCAGAAGGTGAGGAGGTGCCTGGTTCCGCCCCACAAAGCTCCCGCTAGGTCCTCTCCTGCCCTTTGGCACCCCCTCCGTCCCCCTGACATGAGGAAGCCCCCACCTGTGCATTTGAAAGCCGCAAGGACTGCCAGCCTCACCTTTGCCCCTGCGTGCGGTCATCCGGCGGCTTCTTTTGGCTTTGGCTGGCACCTCAGGCTCAGATAAGGCCGGAGCAGTGGGCACTTTCCTCCTCCTGCGAGGACGTCCCTTCCTTGGCCCTTCAGCCACCTCCTCCTCCTGCTCCTCCTCTGCCGGCTTCGGGGGTTTCACTGCAGCCCTGGGGCGCCTTTTGGAGGCACGTGCGGTGACCTGGGTGAACATCAGAGTTGGAGCTTAGCAGCAGAAGCGTGTTTGGACTGCCAGCTGACGAGAACCTCCAGGCAGGAGCCCCACAGTGAATTTGGGAGCAGCCTGAGCAGGGCACAGGGGAACAGCACAGCCTCTAGACCCAGCGAGAGCCACATCAACTGCAAAGCTTCTTACCTTGGGGGTCAGAGCCTCGGGATCTGTCTTCAGCTGAGCGCGCTTCTTGCGGGACGCCTGCCCTGCGTGAGAAGACGTACCTGGGTTAGGTGGGATGAGGAGGAGAGGGGACAGAGAGCGCCTGCACCACGGGGGGACAGCACCTCGGCTCCCAGCCTGGCAGGCCAGGAAGGGGATGTAGGTGCAGGCCTGGAAAACCATCCTGCAGGTGCAACGGCTGTGCCCGGGCAGGTTGGCGTGTTGCTAGGAAGCCTTGGGGACAACGGGCTCCATCCCCCAGTGCCACCGGCTGTCACAGGCCTGTCACCGCCCCAGGGAGAGGGGCTTTGCTCCTGCCTTTGCCCCTGTGCTGTGCAACAAGGACAGGGCTTCCCAGGCTCCAGCCCTCCCGGAACAAGTCCCACGGGGAGGAGAGAGGACACTCACCTTTGGGAGCCATGGGGCCAGGCTCTCCCTGCAAGGAAGGTGACAGAGCATTGACTGGGGCGCAGATATTCTGCAGGCAGCGGCAGCAGAATCCCTGCCCCTTCTCCACCCCACAGCCAAGAAAGTGATAGGGAAACAGTGACATTTCCCTAGGAAACCAGGAGAGTCGGGCTTGCTCTGCCTCCTCTGTGCCTCGGGGACTCTCCTGTCAGCCCCTGCTCCTTCTGCAAGGCACCACCACAGCACCTCACCCCGACACGGGGCACAGGAGGGAGGGACAGGACTGCCAGGCCACCCAAGCCCCCCATTACCGTGATCAGCCCCTCTGCTCCAGACTGCCCGCCATCCCTTGGCCAGCTGGCCACTGCACAGAGGGTCCTTGTGACCTCCACGTCCAGTGGTCACAGCAGTCTGGTGGAGAGGGAGACCCCCAGTGACACAACATAATGCTGGGGGGTCTCAGGAAGCAGAAAACAGGCTGGTGTCCCCTTGGAGCAGTGGTCAGGGGGTACCCAGCCCCAGGTGGTGACCCCAGACTCCTACCTGGAACCATATGGTCCTGCCATTGCGGTCACGCAGGGAACTCATGCCAGGCACCAAGTAACACTGCAGCCAGTTCTTGAAAGCGGCGTAGTTATCTGCGTGATCTGGCTCAAAGGGCTTTTTCTCTGGGAAGGGAGAGAGGGAAAGGACAGAAGTAGAGAGGAAGCAGTGACCACGGTGTCAGGGTGCCCTCCCAAGCCGCCTGCTGCTGGGAACACAACACCCAGCACCCTCTACCACCCCCCAGCTGCCCCTGTTCCCTGCTACCCTGTCCTGTCACCTCACCCGTCGTGATGACCTCCATGGGCACAGTGTGGCACAGCTCCAGGAGATCCGGGTTCTCCCGCATCAGCTTCAGCTTCTTGCTTAGCGTCAGGGAAGGACTCTGCGGGGGTGGAGAAGGGGAGGGAAGTCACCTGCCAGCCATCGTCGAGGAGAGACCTCATCAGGGTCTCTCCTCCCCAACGGCAGCCCAATTCCCCATCTCCTCTTGCCCTCCTGAGGCTAAGCTGCCACACTCCCCACCAAGTGCCCTGCCATGGCACGTGCCAGCAAAGCTTACCCCACAGACCCCATCTAGGCTGCAAACTGCACGTGGGCACATTCCCCACAGCTATAAAGACATGAAAGAGGGCTAGCACACAGCAACACCAGCAGTTTGTAAAAACAGCCCTCAAGTCGCATGTTTTGTTTTCAGCCTCCTTTAAAATAGCCACCTCCTCTCCCCCGAGGCCCCCAGATCAGCCGTGGGCTCTACTGTAGCCTTCCCCAGAGATTTTAAGCTTGCAAGGTGTTTGCTTCCCTCACCCCTTCCTCTTCACCCACCCCAAATATACCCGGAGACTTCCTGACGGCAGAAGGCGGGCGCCACTGAGCGCCAGCGCAGCACGCAGGCATGTGCCCAGGGAGCTGTCACAGCTCGTCAGCCCGGCCACGTGCGAATGAACACCCGCACGCGTGAGGTTACAGAACCGCTGCGCCCCATTTGCCGCTCCATTGGAGGGGCGGACGTGCTCAGACACGGGTGTTTACGGCAAAGGACAGTAAAATGCTTGAGGAGAAGGATCTCGTGCAGGCAAGCATTATAGCTGTGAAGGGAAAACGGCTGCCGTCGGGTTGGGAAAGACTCAGAGCAGCAAATATCTCCCGACAGCGGTGCGGGCAGAGGCTGTGCGAGCTCTGCAAGGGCTTCATGATGATGTTCTGCCCCATCAGAGCGAGGAACCAAACAAAAACTGAAACTGGCCCTGAACCCTGAGCTGGAACAAGCCCGAAAGAGCAGACCCAAACCAGAGCTTCGCGCCCAGCTAAGCCCAAAGCAGAGCCAGAGCAGGGTAGCCGGGCTGAGCCCAGACTGGGGGCTGGAAGCAAGCTGAACCACCTCCCCCATTGCTGAGCCCAAACTGGAATCAGGAACGCTTCTCAGCTCAGTCCAGCTCCCTGCAGGGAAGGCAAGAGGTTCCCAGGAGCCCAGGGAGCTCCCGAGACATCCCACAGGCAAACAAATCCCTGGTGTGGCATCTGTCTGGGAACCTGTCCCTTTCTGAGCCTGTGAAAGCAGCGGATATTCCTCACCTTCTTCCTCCTTGTCTGCTCCTGATCCTTCAGGGCCTCCAGCACGGTCCGAGCCTTTTCGAAGGGAGGGATCTTCAACCTGAGAGAGTCCATCCATTACACAGAAGCCGGAACTCTTGGTTCTGGCACTTGTCCATGTCTACCAGACAAGGAGGCCCAGCTGGCTTAGCTGAGGAGCCGTCAAGCTCTGGCAAACTCTTGGGAGACCAAACCTCCACAGCAGGTCAGTGGGTGCTCAGCCCACCTTACCTGTACAGGATCTCAGCACGGAGGTAATTCCCAATTCCGTTGAAAAACTTCTGGTTTAAGAGGGCCTCGCAGATGGGCTTGTCAAAAGCCTTGTCCTCCAGGTTCTTCAGCACGTTCTCCCTGCAACAGAGCAGGGGGCCATCAGCCAGGTTCACCTGGGCACGGCAGTAAAAGTGGCCAAATAAAAGCAGGGGGGACACAACATTCCCTCGGGCTGGGCTGTGGCTGGCAGGGTGCTCACCTGAAGGCCTGGTACTCGGAGAGGACGCAGGGCCCGCGGCCCGGCTGCCAGGTGTCCC